ACAACAGGGAGAGCCCCGCATAATAAAAAAAAAAAAAAAAAAAAAAAAAAATTAGGGCCCCTGTTTCTTGAGAATGTATGTATAGGCAAATGATAATAAAAAGCAAAAAGTAAAAGAAATCCAGGAACTCTAATCATTTAGAAAGATAAAGGGATGAACACAAAGAACAAGTTATAAATTAATTAATTAATTAAATAATTTTTAAGATGCCTTTCATACATATCAGCTTAAACCATTTAAAATGCTGTTTTTTGGTAGGTCAAAAGGGGTTGAACATCAGCAGTTTCATATGATTCAACCTAATACATTCAAAAAGGGAAAAATAATATTTGAGGTACACGGCTAAAGAATGCAGGGCAAAGGTGACTAAGTGGTTCCACATTCTTCAGGAAATGTCGGAAGTCTTTGAGCACAGATCCCCATCCTTTTCACCTTTGCACATCTGGAGAAGGTGACAGCACTGAGTCTCAAGTTATCTCCCCTGACAAGAACGAATTTTGAGTTCCTGGTGAGGTAGGGGGCTATCTGCCCTCAAAGACAGCCACACCAGGGCTAAATGAACACAGTCTGGAAAGTCTGAAGAGCTTTACAGTGAATGCAGAACACAGTAATACACACGTACAAAGTCACTGGTGAGACCTACTTCACAGCTTATAAATAACATACGACTGGTGATTTCACAAGCTTTCTTGCCCAATTTTCCTAGTTCCGTCTTGAAAAGATGCCATCTGGAGATAGAGGTCATCAAGTTCTTTCAGGATAATTAATTCCAACTATTCCACATCACTGCCTACATAGTACTGCCTAGAAATCGCTCGTGGGGTTGAGTGACATGAGCAAGATTTTGATTAGGGCTTCCCAGATAGAAAATAAAATAGGCGGCACGAATTGCACACATGGGAGCATGGTTGTTAGGGCAGGTTCGTGGGGAGCCTCCAAGGGCAGGTTAGGGAGTTCGGGCTTCACTTTGAATCTAATGGTGACCTGAGTGCATGTGGAGTGGGTGTCATGATACAATGGGAGGAAGCTGAAATGGAGCGATGAAGAGGTGATAGGCAGGAGGTCAGCCAACCAGGCTATTACTATAAAAGTCATGGCGAGAGTGAATACGTTCCTGAATTACACTAGTGGCAGCCAGAGAAGAAAGAAATAGTGGGAGGAGGAGGGAAAGGACCAGAGGAATCAAAAAATGCTGGGGTTCCTACTCTGATATAAATGCTGGTCTTGGGAGCAGAAAGTTTTATGCAGATACTAAAGCCAATGGGGAAAGGGAAAGTATTCAGAATATTCAGCATCACCTTGGGATATTTAAAAATACAATATTAGTAACAAAATTCAGCTAGATGTTCTATAGTGGGCTACTCAGGAAGGCTGCAAAATAACACCAATGAATCTTAGCCAGTCCTTGGATGCATTCACACCAGAACGTCCCTCTCAAAGGGATTAAGTGACACTATCCTACTAAATACAACTGGATGGATTACACTTTGTGTGTATGTGGTTCTTTCTTTTTCTTTTAATTTAACAACAAGGACCTATTGTACAGCACAGGGAACTCTACTCATTATTCTGTAATAACCTATACAGGAAAAGAATCTGAAAAAGAATGGATATATGTATAACTGAATCACTTTGCTGTACACCTGAAACTAATATATTGCAAATCAACTATACCCCAATATAAAATAAAAATTAAATTAAATTTAAAAAATACACTTTGAGGGCTTCCCTGGTGGTGCAGTGGTTGAGAGCCCGCCTGCCGATGCAGGGGACACAGGTTCATGCCCCGGTCCGGGAAGATCCCACATGCCGCGGAGCGGCTGGGCCCGTGAGCCATGGCCGCTGAGCCTGCGCATCCTCCGCAACGGGAGAGGCCACAACAGTGAGAGGCCCGCGTACCGCAAAAAAAAAAAAAAAAAAAAAAAAAAAAAACACTTTGATTTCAAGTCTCTCACAGCAAGAATGCTGTTTTCAATACACTGTTTGTTATAAGATCTGCCCTGTTTTCTGTTTGGCCCCATGAGTATAGTTATGCAAATTTGGACTAATGGATGGAGGTCTGGAAGCAACAATTTTACCTTAGCTTGCCGTTCATTTTCTTTTGATTGAGGTGAAAGTCACATAACATAAAATCCACCATTTTAAAGTGAACAATTCAGTGGTATTTAGTACATTTACAATGCTGTGTAACTACCACCTCTATCTCCAAAAGTCATTAGTCTTTTAAAAGTAACAACAATACCACTCTTAACATATTTGATAACTTTACCAACTAGAGGAAAATATGCATAAATGGTTAAAAATGGGTTGTCACACCAGGCCTTTGACCATATACCAGACAGACAGACAGACAGACAGACAGACAGACACACACACACACACACACACACACACACACACACACACACACATATATAGTTGCCTCCATGAGAGTTATTTTAAGTGTCGTGGCAGGAATTTTATTCTAAGAATAGGCTCCCTGCAGTGTCACAATGTATTAAATTCAGAAAATGAATTATTCTACTGATATATTTGGTACCAATCTTATAAAACGATGCCTCATATTCCTTTTGTATAGGTACCAGAAAAGCTCTTAACTTAAAAAAAAAAAAAAAAGGCTAAAAAGAGACTTCAATGTGCCATACCTTATTGGGATAGCTGGATGCTTCCTTCCCAAATCAGCTTCGAAGAGGAAGCCTTCCACAGCGATAAATAAAAATTGTGCAAATGTCACGATGTTCCCGCATCCTGGATGCTTCCTGTGTAGTGAATAATAAAAGGAAAAAAAAAAAGACACAGAAAACTGAGATAAAGAGCACTAAGAATTGTTTTATTCATAGTTCAGAATAACAGGGAAGATGGATTTCTGTTACCCATTGTCCTTCTTTATCTCAGTTTTCATATCCCACGGATCACACACACTTAGCAACAGACCCACAGAGAAGAACGTCAGCTTTCTTCCTTTACTCTTGCACAGGTATAGCAGGCCATGAGTAAGAATGATAACGCTCGTTCCTAGAACTATGATACAATTTTCCCAGTAAACTGTAGGAAGTTGGTCATAGGTTCTTGTTGAGATCCTCACTTAACCAAGAGGGCTTTAGTCCAGATCCTCATCAGCTTGGGCACAAGGCCCAAGGACAGAAACATGCTCAGATCTCCTGTAATGTTTACATATCCTCCCAACCAGGATATCTCCGAGACTGCTGTCAATCAAAGACTCCTACACAGTGTTAATGACAGGGATGTTACCTTAGACAGAATCCCCATGGGGGCAACAATGGTGGGGGCTGGGGGCGGAATCTTACTATTTTTCTAAGTATAAAGCAAGGGTTATACATACAGCACATAAGTCCATATACAGTGTACCTGCAGAGAGATGATTGGGAAAAAATGTCTACAAAGGGTCTTTGGTGGGGGCGGGGGGAGGGGCAATAATGAAGACAGGTCTGAGGAGCACTGCTGCCATCTTACTGGTCTCCACCACCCTTAACACAAATGTATCAGGGATTCAACAAACGTTCGTGGAATTCAATGGAACCTCTTCAGTGATCTACTCAAGGGTTGGGGAATCTTCCACAGTGACTGTTACGAGCAAATCTACAAGGTAGAAAAGTTCCTCTGATATCAATCCCTCTTGAGGCACTCTGTGAAAGTTAGTTACTTCAAATGTGGTTTTCTTGAGCTTGTCCTCCATGAGGCACTGCCCAATCACTGGAATAAGGACAAAGTGAGCAGTTGTCTTTGTTCTCCTGAGGCCTCCAGAGTTCCCACACTACCAATAAACGCATATTATGAAATATAGTGCCCTGTTCTGCATTTTCATGTTAACCAAAGACATTTACCCAAACCTAGTGATTAGAGGGATTTAATTGTATTATTATATATTAATATAATGCTATTTATTAAAAACAACTCCATTCTCTATTGGTGGTATTAATAGTAAACAGCAATGCCAAGGATCACATTCTTAAATACTCCCATCAGGCATAAAAATAAACAACGCCAAGCCTAAGCCATTCCCATACAGAGCTGTGCTTACCATCGGAAGCGGAACTCTTGTTCCACTTTAGGCTCTACTACCTATGAAGGTTTCCTTGAAAACTACTGCTCTATATCCAATTTCAGTGTTTTCTTTTAGCACTCCTTATGTTTGAGGGACAGGGCTAAACGTTGCAGGAATCCATAAATAATCATGTAAGACATTTCCCTCATTCTAGGAGCTAATTAAAACCATTAGCCTAAGTATGAGTGACAGGAGAGGGAACCTTAGCTCCAGATAGTTCCTAGCAAAGTGCTTTTCAACCCTGGCTAGGCTGCTCTTTAATAACGATAAGCCTAAGAAGCCTCACCCTCCCAGGTGGGGTGGGGCTCTGGATTTGAGGGCTGGGAGGTGTGTGTGTGTGTGTGTGTGTGTGTGTGTGTGTGTGTGAGAGAGAGAGACAGAGAGACAGAGAGACAGAGAGAGACAGAGACATAGGGTTGAGAGCCAGTCCACAGTGCTTAAAAGCACACAATGATATGCAGGACATCCAGCTATGCTGCTAACCTTATGACAGTAGAAGTTTATTACCCTAAGTTTAGTTTGCTTATCTTTAAAATGGGAACAGTATTAGGGCCTATCTCATTGGTTTATTGTAGAGTAAATAAGCCAGTGTCTGAAACACACTTAACAGGGGGAAAAAGGCAAAAACTAAAACACTAGGATACCTTCAATCTAAGTATAGGAACCCTTTTAAAGACATTTATGTTGAGCAATTTTTCTCACCTGTAAAATAGAAGTGATGTGTTTTTAACGTCATAGTGAGGATTCAATGAGAAAATATACATAAATCGCCAAGCACAAGACTTAGTCCAAAAAGAGCTCATAATACTACTTGTTTTCCCTTCCATTTTCTCTTTCCTGAAAGCTTAGGACAATTCAATTAAAGAGTAATTATCAAGAACCTATTGTGTGTGCAGGTAGGTGCTGGCTGAGAGGGAGCTGCCAACTGAATGAGACCTGATCCCTACCAAACACGGAATATAAGACAGTAGGAACCCAGTGCTCTGTGGGGATTGTTAGAGGACCGTTCTATTCATCTTCACATCACCAATCTCTGGGCACCGAGTCTGGCTTTCACCCAAGCAAATGAATGAATGTGGGATGCCTCACTTTAAGCAAACATGATCTAGAATAAGAGGACTGTATGAAAGTTAAAAATAAACTATTTCAAAAAATGATTCTCTTTTAAAGTGTATTCTTCATAGGATGTTGTAAAAGGCATCATAATAGGATCGTATCAAGGTGGCAGAGGAGTAGGACACGGAGCTCACCTTCTCCCACAAATGCATCAAAAATACATCTACATGTGGAACAATTTTCACAGAATATCTACTGAACGCTGGCAGAAGACCTCAGACTCCCAAAAGGGCAAGAAAATCTCCACATAACTGAGTAGGGCAAAAGAAAAAAGGAGAGAAAGGAATCCAGATGGGATCTGCACCCCTTTTGGGGAGCTGTGAAGGAGGAAAGGTTCCTGCACCCGGGGAAGTCCCCTCACTGGCAGCAAAATCATCTGGGACAGAGAGGGAGCTTCAGAGCCTCAGAGGAGAGTGCAGCACCCTGTTTGCAGAGAGAGACCTGCATAGAAGGTCAGTGCTGCCAGCACTCCCCAGCTTGGGTCACTTGTCCACTGGGGAGAGTCGGGGCTGGGTGCTGAGGCTCAGGCTTCGGAGGTCAGACCCCGGGGAGAGGACTGGGCTTGGCTGTGTGGAGACAGCCAGCACACGCTGAGGAAAAAGACAGCAAATATCCAAACCAAAAACCGCCCTCACGCCAAAAAAAGTTAAACCCACACAAGCTACGCAGGGACACTCCCGCATATAAATAGCCCTCCAAGACTACAGTAGATAATTGTTTCTCCTAAACTCACACAGTAAGAGAAATACAAGCAAAATGAAGAAGCAGAGGAACTACTCCCAGTTAAAAGACCAAGAGAATTCCCCTGAAGGAACAATGAAACAGACCTCATCAGTCTAATAGACACCAAGCTCAAAAAACAGGTAATGAGGGCTTCCCTGGTGGCGCAGTGCTTGAGAGTCCGCCTGCCGATGCAGGAGACGCGGGTTCGTGCCCCGTTTCGGGAAGATCCCACATGCCGCGGAGCGGCTGGGCCCGTGAGCCATGGCCACTGAGCCTGCGCGTCCGGAGCCTGTGCTCCGCAAATGGGAGAGGCCACGACAGCGAGAGGCCCGCATAACGCAAGAAAAAAAAAAAAAAAAAAAAAAAACAGGTAATGAAAATACTGAAAGAATTAAGGCTATTGACAGAAATGCAAATTACTGTAAAAAGGAACTAGAAACTATAAGGAGGAGCCAAGAAAAATTTAAAAATTCGTTTGCCAAGACAAAAGCTGAGGTAAAGGCAATGAATAGAATGAATAATACAGAAGAAATAAGTGATGTGGAAGATAGAATAATGGAAATTACCCAAGCAAAACAGCAGACAGAAAGCCAAAAGAAAAAATGAAAGCAATAAAAGAGACCTGTGGGATAATATAAAGCATGCCAATCTACATATAATAGGGATTCCAGAAGGAGAAGAAAGAGAAAAGGAGGTCAAAAATGTATTTGAAGAAATTATGGCTAAAAGCTTCCAAAACCTAAAGAAGGAAACAGATATCCACATACAGGAAGCACAGAGGGTCCCAAACAAGATGAACCCAAAGAGACCTTCACCAAGACATATAATAAAAATGACCAAAGTTAAAGAGAGGATTCTAAAGACAGCAAGAGAAAAACAAAGAGTTAATTACAAGGGAACCCCCATAAGGCTATCAGCTGATTTCTCTACAGAAAACACTGAGGGCCAGAAGGGAGTAGCAAAATATATTCAAAGTCTTGAAAGGGAAAGATCTGCAGCCCAGAGATTATCATTTAGAATAGGAGGAGAAATAAAGAATTTCTCAGACAAGCAACAACTAAAAGAATACAGCAATTCTAAAGCTATCCTAAAAGACATATTGAAAGGTCTGCTCTAAATAGAAAAGAAGCAAGAAGATACAGGAAGGAGGAAATCATAACTGGAAAGTAAATCACTTAGCCAGTATACAGATCAAAAAGAAAAAACAAAACCTACTTGTGAAAGTGATGATAAACACAAGGAACAGCAAAAGGATAAACATGAAGATGTAAAAAAGATGTCAAAACCATAAAATATGGGGAAGGAGGGTAAGAAAATGCAGATTCTTTTTTTTTTTTAGAATATGCTTGAGCCTATACGACTATCCATCTAAAGCAAGCAGATACAGGAAAGGGGGTTAACATACTTGAATAACAGGGCAACCACAAATCAAAAACACAACAGATTCACAAAAACCAAAAAGAACACAAGCATAAAAGGAAATCATCAAACCACAAAAACAAAGAAGATACAAAGAATCAACTGGAAAACAAAATTTAAAATGGCAATAAATACATATGTATCAATAATTACCTTAAATGTCAATGAACTGAATGCTCCAATCAAAACACACAGAGTGGCAGACTGGATTAAATAAACAAGAGCCTACAATATGCTGCCTACAAGAGACCCACCTTAGGGCAAAGGACACACATGGATTGAAAGTAAGGCGATGGAAAAAGATATTTCATGCAAACGGAAATGACAAGAAAGCAGGAGTTGCAATACTCATATCAGACAAAATAGACTAAAGCAAAAGCTATAAAAAAAGATAAAGAGGGACGCTATATAATGATAAAAGGATCAATACAAGAA